AAATGTGTCATTATTATTTCAGTTAACTGACATTTCCAGTCTGGCCCAAGAGGTGTTTTATTTATGTATGAAATGACTCAAAGTCTCCAGGTGGTAGGGGCACATGCCTTTTTCCCAGCACTCAGGAGGCAGAGGCAGGTGGATCTTTGTGAGTTCAAGGCCCATCTGGTCTACAAAGGAGACAACCAGACAGTTACACAGTGAAACGTGGTCTCGAAGAATCCTACAAAACCAAACAAACAAAACCCAAACAAACAAAAAACAAAAGAAAATGATTATTATTGTTGTATTAATGCTGTCTTACTGTTTGGGTTTTAGGAATTCAAGACAAAAACAGAAGTTGCAGGAAAAGGTAAGTCTCAGCTAAGGCAGCTCTGGTGTTAATCAGGAACTTTTGTGTTTATTAAAGCTTAGGAGAGCTTGGAATCCTCTAGAGTCACACTGGGCAGGCTCTGCTCAGCTTGGAGCCACCTGCAGTGGCATCATCTTTCCAGTCTGAGTCAGATGTGTTTAAAGCATTCCCTGAGGAATTGAGCTCTTAGGGCTACGATCAGAGGAATAGAATCAGCATTTTTTTTTATTGAGTTCTACATTTTTCTCTGCTCCCCTCCCTGTCTCCCCCTCCCTCAAGGTCCCCATGCTCCCAATTTACTCAGGAGATCTTGTCTTTTTCTACTTTCTACTTCCCATGTAGATTAGATCTATATAAGTCTCCCTTAGCATCCTCATTTTGTCTAAGTTCTCTGGGATTGTGGTTTGTAGGCTGGCTTTCTTTGCTTTATGTTTAAAACCACCTATGAGTGAATACATGTGTTAATTATCTTTCTGTGTCTGGGTTACCTCACGCAAAATAATGTTTTCTAGCTCCATCTATTTTCCTGCAAAATTCAAGGTGTCATTTTTTTGGCTGTATAGTACTCCATTGTGTAAATGTACCACATTTTCCTTATCCATTCTTCGGTCGAGGGACATTTAAGTTGTTTCCAGGTTCTGGCTATGACAAACAAAGCTGCTATGAACATAGTTTAGCACATGTCCTTGTGGCACAATTGAGCATCCTTTGGATATATACCCAAAAGTGCTATTACTGGGTCTTGAGGAAGGTTGTTTCCCAATTTTCTGAGAAATCACCACACTGACATTCAAAGGGATTGAACCAGCTTGCATTCCCACTAGCAATGCACAAATGTTCCCTTTTCCCCACAACCTCTGCAGCATAAGTTGTCATCAGTGTTTTTGATGTTGGCCATTCTTACAGGTGTAGGGTGGAATCTCAGAGTTGTTTTGATTTGCATTTCTCTGATGACTAAAGATGTTGAGCATTTCCCTAAGTGTCTTTCAGCCATTTTAGATTCCTCTGCTGAGAGTTCTCTGTTTAGGTCTGTACCCCATTTTTTTATTGGATTATGTGATCTTTTGGTGACCAGTTTCTTGAGTTCTTTGTATATTTTGGAGATCAGACCTCTGTCTGATGTGGAGTTCATGAAGATCTTTTCCCAATCTGTAGGCAACTCAGCTTTTTTTAAACTGCTAGGAGATGTCTACAGCTGAGGAGAGGAAAGGAAGATCTGGGAGGTGGTGATGGACACTTACGCTTTGGTGGGCAGTACTAGCACGGATAGGACTTGTAGTGGATGCTTGCTGTGTGTTTCAATGGGTAGCAGTGCTCCGTGAACACTAGGTGTGTCTTAGATGGACCCCAGCTTCCCAGCACCAGCACTTCCTTTCTCAACTGCACAGAAAGTAGCCAGCACTGGGACTGGGGTCAGGTCTCCTGCTTTGCTGGTGGGTGGGTCCTGCCCAAGACTTAAATGAAGAAGCAGCTAACAATACCCGTGTAAAGGGCACCAAATGAAGACCCATACTGAATAAGGTGAGCAAGAGCAATGAAGAGATGCAGACACCAAATCTTGGGGAAAGGAATTCTTGTATAACTCTGCCTTCCAACCTGGAGACGGGGTCTCTCACTGAACCTAAGTTTACCCCTTTGGCTAGGCTTGCTGACCAGGGAGCTCTTGGGATCTGCCCATTTCTGCTGTCCACACTAGGCACATGTAGCCATGCCCAGCTGTTTACAAGGGGGCTGAAGATTCAAGCTCCATCCCTCACTCTGACATAGAAAGCTATCTAACCCAGCCAGCCATTCCTCACTGATGCTGTTACAGTGTAATCTTTAAATTCGTGCTTTGTTCAGCATGAGTATGTACACAGCTTCCTATACCTTTGCTCTCCTCCGGGGAGGCCAACAGTAGTTCTCTAATGCAGTAGACACCTGATGAGCTTCAGCTGTCTGCCATGTGCCCGCAGCACAGAGATGAAGACTCTACCCTGCCTGTAGAAGCTTGGTTCTGTAATCACAGTTGAGTACTCAAGAGACACATATGAGGGAGGATGCTCCTTCCTCAGAGCAGAAAAAGTAATAAAATTTGATTAGTGGTAACAACAACAGCTAAATAAAACAACAAGTGCTAATTTTGGTTTTTAATCCACTAAGAACAATAACAAAACCCCAAAATACTACATTTTTGGTTTTGTTTTTGAAAACACTCTGTAGACCAGGCTGGTCTCGAGCTTACAGAGATCTGCCTGCCGTGGCATCTGGAGTGCTGAGATTAAAGGTGTGTGCCACCACGCCCGGGTACATTTTAGTTTTTAATTCACTACATCAAAAACTCTACTATCTGAGATTTCCTTTTAGCAGATTTAGCCAAGATATGGGAAAGGGAGGAGGGTTGTCTCAGGACAATTTACTTAACAAACCATGATGTAATACTTTACACCTTTCATTGTCATTTCCAATTTCCTCAGATGATTTGGATACAACACATTCTCCCAGCAACAGAACGGAAAGTGTCCTGAAAGAATGTGAAACTGTTTCCTCCATGGTGGCATTTGAAAACCTGTCAGAGAAAGTGACTGACATAGTGCTGACCATCCTTGTGAAGAATATAAGCGGCTTTCCCAGTGACGACTTTAAGGTGGAAGTGATCCGAGATTTTGGTGTTGCCGTGGTTACCTTTCAGAAGCCTATAGGTGAGTCCTAGTCCCAGGGAGGCCCTGCATCCCCAGGCTTCTGTCCACCACACCCCAGGGTTTGGGACATCTCTCAGTGTTCAACACTTTGAGTAAACAAGACATCTAAGCCTTTCCCCTCAGATTTTGGAAAGATGAACAAATTCATTTTGAGATCCAGTTTGGGTCTGTTTAATAGATTGCCCTTTATTATATGATTGTTTGAGTAGGTGGAGGGAGAAATATAAAGTCCCAGGCAATTCTAAATGGAGGAGTTTGAACTCTTACTCTGCTTCCCTGGGAGGAGTTAACTGGCCTGTCACCATGCCACACTTCTGTAAGGCAATGATGCCAACAGACTTACCCTGGTGCTTAGTGTCAGGCACCTGCCAGTCTCTGCTGTGTTCATTTATTCCTTCCTTTCAACAACCCTGTGACAGGGCTTGATGTTGCCAAGAGATGGAAGAACTGGAATTGAACTCAGACAGACAACTTCCACTCCCTTTTTCCTATTATTTTACCACATTTCTCCTTGGTGTAACCCTTTCATGGTCACACATGTGGAGAAGAGAGAGCCCACTTAACGGGGAAAATGAGTGCCCCAGCCAGCAAGATGGCAGAATGGGCAAAGGCACTGCGGCCAAGTCTGACAACCTAAGTTTGATTTCTGGGACTCATGCAAGTTTCCCTCTGACCTCGAAATGCATGCACACACATGTACTGGCATGTACACACGAATAAACATGAAAGAAAATGACTGCTCTGTTAGGTCATTGTCATAAGCAAGACCCAGCTTGCCTAAAACTTGGCAGATTTCTAAATCTCAGCCCCATGTCCCATGGGCACAGCAGTGGGTGTCAGTCAAGCTCACGATGTGGTGAGAATTCTGGCCCTGTCACATAACAAGTTGTATAAAGGTGACCAAGTTATTATTTTCTCTGGTCCTCATCCACTCATCAATAAAATGGGGATGATCATACTTACCTCAATTCCTGTGATAATTACATGAGATAGTACTTCAGGATTTGATAAATGACACTTATTTAAAGTTTATTATTATTTATTATAAAGGGAAAGTTAAAGATTTGTTTATTTTATGTGTACATGCCTGCATGTATTTGTGTACCGCATGCATGCAGTGCCTGAAGCAGCCATTGGAGGGCCTGGATTCCCCTGGAACTGGAGTTACAGATGGTCCTGGGCTTCCAAGTGGATGCTGGAAACTGAATCACAGTCCTTTCAAAGGCGGCCAGGACTTTTAACCTCTGAGCCATCTCTCCAGACCCATCAAGGGAAATTTAAATAGAAATGATTCTGTTCTTTGAGAAACAACAATCTTGAGTGCATTCTGTGTTAGTTTCTGTTACTGAAACAAACTCCTAATGCCATCAGCCTTCAAAAAGAGAGGATTGTGCCAGTTCACAGTTTGGGTGGCTTTGGTTCATGGTCGGTTAGCCCTGCTGCCCTGGGGCTTATGTTGAGGCAGTCTGCATGGTGGAAGCATATAAAAAAGAGAGAGACAGAGACAGAGAGAGGGGAGGGAGAGAGGGGAGGGAGAGAGGGGAGAGAGAGAGAGAGAAGCCAGGATCATCTTGTTCCCTACCTACCCCATAATGATTGGGACATTTCCCACAGGCTTCACTTGTTAAAGGATTCACTACTTCCCATAGCACCTAGGTGAGGACTAAGACTTTAACACAGGGGACTCAGGGGCTTTGGTCAAAACTATTTGGTCACTATTATGGGGCAGGTATCGGTTTAGGGGTTGAGGCAGAAAGATGACTAAAATCATAGTTCCCTCTCTAGAGGAACTCAGTCTGGGAGGAGGAGGGAGGTGTGTGTGTCAATGAATAATGGAGAAAAAAGAGAGTCTGTCTCCCAGGTGTAGTAACCTGAGAGGGGTAGAGACAGGACCGTGCGTAATTGTCCCCATCTGAGTGTGTCCTCCAGCAGTGTCACCTGACCATCTCCAAAGGACACCACACTTGTTCATGCTGCCATTGCTTTATCCTCTTATTCATTTGGCAACCGCCCCTTTAGTGTTAAATTAGAGACCAAATATAGACCATATACTGTCTGAGTCTGAGTCCCCGTTTCATCTGTTCCTTATTGGAGCTTCAGAAGGCATTTCATCTGTGCTCAAGATCCATGTCTTCCCAGTGATATACAAGCAAGGACTTGAATTTATTTCTCAGATCCCAGCACAATGATTGGCATGGCAGGCCCTCCATCCCCCTGTTAAATTAAAAGAGGTAGTTAGGCTGAGACATGAAGATAAATAGGACCAACTGAAAAAATAGAGGAGGGAGGCTACAGACATAGCCCTATTTTGATAGCATGGTTCAATTTTATTCTTAGCCTCAACTCAAAAACTCTTCTGTCTTCCATTTAAAGTAGAGCACTGCAGACATGGGCAATTGTATATACACCGACAAATGAGAACTTTGAAAACATAGCTTGTCAAGTTTTGTTGTTGACTTTTTTTAGTTTTGGTTTTGGTTTCTTGAGACAGGGTTTCTCTATGTAGGCTTGGCTATTCTGAAACTAGACCAAGTTGGCCACAAACTCTCCGAGATCTCCTTGTCTCTGCTTCTCAAGTGCTAGGGTTAAAGGCATGAGCCACCACCAACTATTAAATGACTACTTGTCCATGGCAATATGAAAATAACTTTAAAGGTGCTACTTGGATGTGTGTTTGAAGTCAGGAGCCTGGCTGTGGCTGTGGGCTCTTACCTGCTGCCATAGTGGGCATCAAAGGTCTTGTGAAAATGGGAAGAGTGATGGCATTGTGAGAAGTGCATTCAGGAAGGTTGGCCATGGCCAAAGGACAGCTCAGTAGCAGAAAATACAGTAACTGGCTAGTTCCCCATTCTGGGTTGTAGTCAAGCCATTTCTTCCATACCATATAAAGATGCCACTGAAATTTTCTCCTTTTCTTTCTGTTTTGTAGACACCAAAAAATTTATTAGTGATACAAAAAAGTTTATTAGTGATTGTTTCAGTCACGATTCGAGCCGACAGCTGCAGCTTGCCCCGAGACTTCTGGAAACAACAAATGTAGTTAGGGTGGAAAACCTGCCTCCTGGGGTAGATGACTACCAGCTGCAGCTCTACTTTGAAAGCCCTTTCAACGGGGGCGGAAGAGTCACCCAGGTTGAGTGTTTCCCAGAAGAGAGCTCGGCGCTGGTTGAGTTTTCAGACAGCAAAGGTAATGTGTCTTGGCCTGCCACCTGGGCATGACCTGGATGGTTGGCCATTTCAGTCATTCCTTAATCTGTCAGAAATGGCACCAATCTCTCATCCATCTGGATTTGGTGCAGAATGAGGGCAGCAAAGCAGGCTCTGCCGAAGCAGCACAAGCTCATGAGAGACAGGAAGAGTCTCTGACGAGTCCAGCCTGTGACTGGATGTCACCATTCTAGGAACGTTGACAGGCCGTACTCACAGCCATAGATCTGTGTTTTACATCCCCACATTGATTCTCTAATCAACAGGTTTAGAGAGAGATGGAGTCAGAAGCATGTAGAGTTCTAGAAAGCATTCCTGTTCCCGCTGTGCCGTCCCTGTGCTGAGACCGGATAATGGGTGATTTCTCACAACCTCAGGAGAAGATGGAAGTCATGTTGATGACATCTTCAGTGGTTCTTGAGTCAGACAGACTTGAGTTACAATCCTGATGGGTGGTCACTGGCATGGTGACCTTTAGCTCTCAAACCTTCTGTTTTCTCTTCTGTAGAGGTAGTATCAGGAGTTACCTCAGAGGACTGCTGTAAAGAGGAAATGAAACAGTCCCTCAGCAGTGCTTGGCCTAAGGGGGTGCTCAGTCTGAGCTGGAGGTCACTCAGGATGTCCAGCCTCTCTGGAAACTGTGGAAGGTTGGGCCTCTGAAGGTCACATTCCTTCCCTCAGGCCTGATACCTGCTCTAGGACTGAGTCTTTCACCAGGGTATTATGTTTTAGAATCTTTCTGCCACAGGTGCCATTTAAATCCAAGTTGTTGTGGGATTGATTCTAATTTCCATGCTGATACTACTTATGCTTGCCCAACAGCTAAAACAAAGAGGAGGGAGAACGTGAGTATTCAGCCAGGGATGGCTTGTGGTGGCTGTCCTGGTACACATGGGTGACCGGGAGATTATAATGGGGAAGGCATTACTAAATTGTGACCTCTGGGACTGGACTCTCCAATGACTATGAGGATGATTTTGCCTTGGTATAGCGGCAAGACCATGGGGTCTGGGTTGGCTCACACTGGCAATTAGCTCAGATACTCCCCTGGGTTTATAGAACCCTGAATTTCAACAGCCTTGGTTTTCTCAGCTTTATCTATGGGTGTAATAGAATCTCTACCTGAGAAGGCCACTGTCAAGGTGAGAGACAGGAAACTCATGTAAAGCCCTTGGGAAAGTGATGCAGAGTGCTGGTACAGTTATCCTCTCCTGAGAAATGAAGTGAGCTATGGAAGTTAAATTCCTATACAGAAACTGATGGAATGCAGAGTGATCCAACCGGATGATTAAAATGTTCTTTTTATTTATTTACTATTTTATGTGCATTGCTGTTTTTGCAGCACATACATCCGTGTGAGGGTGTTGGATCCACTGGAACAGGAGTTACAGACAGTTGTGAGCTGCTTTGTGGGTGCTGGGAATTGAACCCAGGTCCTTTCAAAGAGCAGACTAGCACTCTTAGCTGCTGTGTCATCTCTCCAGTCCTTAAACCATTCCTTGTGCTGGTACAAACACCAACCCCATGCTTGTGTCCAAATTTGTGTCTGTTTCTTATTGTGCCACATACATCAGTGACATCAGAAAAACAATAGACTGGAACATGATTTCAGTGTAGAGCAATTTGTGTATAAAGTCATTGTAGCCATAAATGGAGTCTGTCTTGTTGTGGTTAGCATCAGTCTACAGCTGAGCAATGGGAGAATGCCACCTTTGAGTTCTACAAACAGCAGAGACTATTGCTCTCTAGTAAAGTTTGGGGTTTTTTGGAAATGCATAACATTGAGATTACTGTTATTTTGTTTGTTTGTTTGTTTGTTTTCTTTTGTTTTTAAAGTGTTAGGCACCATTCTGGAAAAGAAGCACAGTTTCAAAGGGATGCCACTGTCAGTCTTCCCCTATTATCCTTCTCTGGGCACAGCCTTGTATGGTGAGGAGAAGCCACTGGTCAAGCTTCCAGCATCTTTCCAAGAGTCACTGGACCTTCCTTTGTGGAAGTTCTTTCAAAAAAACAACCATCTGATTGAGGAGATAAATGACAAAATGAGACGCTGTCACTGTGAGCTAACATGGTCTGACATCAACGGCACAGTAACCGTCAGACCTGCTGCCACCTTAGTCAATCACAGACCAAGCATCAAGACCTGGCAGAGAGACGCCTCCGAGGTGCTGTCTGGCATCAAGTCTGAGTACGAAGTTAAGGTGTTTGAAGTGTATCCGCCAGTGTGGGACATCATACAGCATGAGTTAGGAGATGACAGGGTTCTGATGGAGTTTGATAAGGAGAGTCTCACCTTAGCCGGAAAATCAGAAGATGTCCAAGACATCGACCAGAAAATCAAGGAGTTAATAGACAGCACCACGGAAAAGGTTCGAAAGGAGGAGCAGAGTCTGAAGGAGAAAGTGGCCATTTCTCCGGGGAAACATTTTCTTTTGGAACACAGTGGTTTCCTGGAGGATCTAAGAAAAGAGAACCCAGAGCTGGAGATTCATTACGATGCTGCCACTCAGCACCTGTGTTTTAATGGATTCCGTGCAGATGTGTATAAAGTAAATTGTGACATCCAGGAAAAGATGTATTCCATGGCTCAGAAAGACGTCCCGATTCCTTCTGAAGTCTTCATGTTTCTGCAGCAAATAGACCATCAGGAATTCTCCAAGACTCTTTTTGAAGCACAGAAAATTCTTGCCACGTATGAGCTGAACGGTACAGCTCTTCTCTTGATGGCCTGTTCTTTCAGAGTCCTGGCAGAAGCAGAGAAGTGCATACTGGATGCCTTAAGTTATAAAATCATTGAAGTAGAAGACAAGGAAGTTTTAAGAGGCAATGCATGGAAAAAGAAAATTCACCCTCTGCAAAAGAGACACTCCTCCACTGCAAGCATTACGATAAAGGATGAATTAACCCCGGCTGAGGTCATCATTGCAGGCTGTGTGAAAGATGTAAATGAAATCCATGACCATCTTTTTGAGTTCTTGGAAAACAAGATAAAAATTGAAAGACTGGTTGAATTTGAACCAGTCTTGATTATCGAGTACTTAAGGGCAAATAAGAATCTGTTCTGGCCAAAGATAAGGAAGGCCAATGTGCAGGCAAGTTTCAAGCTGGAAGATGAACCAAAAGGCATTTTACTAACTGGCTCCAAGAGTAAAGTTCTAGAGTGCATGAACATGGTCAAACAAATCCGGGATTCAGTCTGCATTAAAAAGTTCCAGATTGATAAGCCTGGTGCTAGGCACTTCTTCCAGGATAAAGCATCCTATTACAAAAGTGAGATCAAACGCCTGCATGGATGCATCATTGAGCTCCAGGAGGGGGCAGAGAAGGACAAAGGCAGCCTTGAAGAGCAAAAGTGCCTCTTACAGAAGGACATAGCCCCTGGAGTCACGCTGATTGTACAGCAGGGAGACCTGGCCCGGTTTCCTGCCGATGTGGTAGTGAATGCAGCAAACGAGAATTTGAAACACCTTGGTGGTCTAGCCCTCGCTCTTTCAAACGCAGCTGGCCCTGAACTTCAAGCAGAATGTGACAAAATAGTGAGAAAGAGGGGTGTGATCCTAAGTGGCAATGCCTTTATCTCAAAACCAGGCAAGCTCCCTTGCCATCACGTCATTCACGCAGTAGGGCCTCGGTGGGACAAAAATAAGGCCCAGGAGTGCGTGAGCCTATTAAAGAGAGCTGTGGAACGAAGTCTCATCTTAGCTGAGTTGGTCAAGTGTCAATCCATAGCCATGCCAGCTATCGGCTCTGGAATCTTTGGCTTTCCCTTAGACCTGTGTGTGGCTACCATTGTTTCAGCCATCAAAGACAACTTCCAAGGTAAGCCAGACAGGCACACCTTGAAAAAGATTTATCTGGTGGACATATCTGCAAAGGTTGCTGGGGCCTTTGCTGAAGCTGTAAAAACTACATATAAAGCCACCCTCCCCCACACAGCTTCCCCTTCTGGTTTACAAGCATTAGAATTAGTGCCACCTGGGAAAACCCCACAGAAACCGCAGACACAG